GATTCTCAGAAAACTCATGGGTGACATCAGTGTTATGTTCAGTTTTGTCAATTATTTTTCTAGTAGAGTGGGGGATGATTGGGCATACGTTGGAAATGATAAGTCTTTCATTTGGTGAGGCTATTTTGAACTTGAAGTGTTATGTTATCAACGCTTATTAATCCTTTGTAATTATATATGAAGTTGTTGACAGAATCTTCCCTTGATAAGTAGATGCATATCCGGTTGTTAGATATTCTTGAAAAAATTGAAATATTTTTCACCTGTATAATCGTTTCAAAGGCGATTAAATAGTCTTCAAGTTTACTAATCTCGATAGCATTGAAGACAATGGCTTGTTTTTTATTTGGAAATATGGTTGATGATGTAACTGAAGAGTACAATTTAGGCAACTGGTTGGAAGTGTTCTGAGAACTCCTGTAGTCAGGTATGCCAGTTGATAAGTCGTAAGATGTTTCGGTATCGTTGTTGATAGTATGTTATTTAGGTTATGGAAGACGAAAGTAATATCGAGAATGCTTACAGATTACTGCTTACTTCGTATTGCACTATTTAGCACTTGAAAAATACTTTGGGAGTTGTTGTGAATTGTTCAAAGAATTGATAGTTATCTAAAACATACAATTTTCTGTAATCGAGACAGGACCGCGAATCAAATCATGACTTCATAACTGTACTTTATTGTTCATTTCTTGACTTTGTAACAGACCACTTTGGAGAGCTTTGTTAATCTTTGATCATTGTGAATTGTGTCTTTTGTTGATACCCTTGATGATTTCTTCATAAGAGAGATGGCATCGCCTCTACCATCTGAAAATTTACGTATTCAGTTAAAAATATTAGATTCTCGAATTGAACTCAACTCATCTACTTGTCTGTTCAGTATATTTATTTTTAAAGTACTTATCTAAAACCAGTGTATTGTTCCTTGGTTCACTATCTAGAACTGACGGCATGCAGTATTGTTTGCTTCCCACTATCATCAGCATTATATTGAGGTAATATAAAATACAAATGCTAATTAAATAAAATGTGAATCATTTGATCATATGAGTGTCTGTTGAAATTGCCTCTCAAAATAATTTCTCTTTGTTTCTTTTTCATCAGTCCCATAATAAAAAGACATGATCGATATCAAGAAGTTTACTTACTTTAAGCCTGAAGTAGCAGGTCTTGTTTCAAATTTACACCTAACCTCTTTGAGATTGGTTACAAGCACGGTGACAGCTTTTTCCCACTCATCATCTCGTAACTCTATTTCTAAGATTTTCAATAAGAATGTAGCAGAAGTTTCTACGTATTCCTCTGGAAAAAGGGCAGGTGCTGAATTCTCCTGATAATCTATAGCTTTGTACAGTTTTTTTTTTTCTTCTGGAGTCATTTCATTTTGTAATTGTTTCACTGAAAAAAAAGAACAAAAAATATGAAAATAATGGTCGAGATAAAATATATGTGATGGAATTGGCCGATACTTGATGAAAAGCTATGATAACGTGTTTGAGTAATACTTCATTGTCAGATTCTTACCAAACAGTTCACAAAACCACAGCAAGTGTTTTACTATATACAGTTGCTTCATCATGTGTAATGTATAAGGTGTTGAGTGAAAATCGCAGAATAAAGTTTAACTTAAATACAAATGAAATGTTTGTCATATTTTTCATTCAAAGTACACTCGAAAAACGCTAATGCTGCCCTCACTCACTATACCCGTACTGAAAAAAAGGATAGATTGTGCTCGTCAAAATTTGGAACCAGGTGACATACCTTGAATGATTCAAGTGATCATAATTTATATTCTTATTTGATTTGCTGAATAATCTTTCAAAAAAGAAAAATTTTAAGCAGAAATAGCAGAAGATGATAATGAATATCTTGATAACCTGGAAACTACATCTTTATCTGAGAAATCAGTCGTATGGGAAAACAAACTTCTGAAGGAAATGAATCTAGAAAATATTAAATTCGAGAATAATAGACTCAAGAAAAATCCAATGAAGTCAATGATATTACAAGAATAAAAAATTCGATATCCTTGACAAATTACTGGAAGATCTGAACAAAAAAAATAGATTATCTTTCCAAAGATCAACACCCTTCGAAAACCAATGATTACAAAAAAAACCTGATCCTCACAAAAACAACCAACAAGAATTATATTTTCTGAAAAAAAAATAGCGCAAACGAAATTGATAAACAAACAGCGTGTACATCTATACAAGCATTGCTGGAAAGGAAAATACAGAAGAAAATACTACAGATCTAATAAAAGCTCAAACAGAAATTATGAATTCTATAATCAATCCAGAAGACGTAACAGACCAAGAACAAAGAGTACTCAAACTCACACCACAGGAACAGAAAGAAAATTCATAAATCTGGCAGACAAAAAAGTAGTAAAATAAGTACCAGAAAGAATGTAGAACAGTTTGAATAAAATGGTGCGAAATGAGAAAGGACGTTTCACAGAAGGAAGAACAGATGATGATTTTCGTGAGGGTGATCAAAAACAGTGGAAAATATGGCTACTCATCTTTCGAGTTCCAAACGACACAGATTTAAAAGCTGTAAAAAATATGTGGAAAAAAAGACCAGGGACGAGGATACCTACGTGAAAAAATTGAATATTATGAATCCAAAAGGCGACAAGCAATCATATATGGTAGGAGTTCGACCACACTTGCACGATGCCATCTACAAACCAGACTTTTGGTTTTAGATGCAAGACATTCATGCGAATCCGTATTTTAGGTTACAGTTACTGAATGGAAAGATAAAATAAGTAAAGGCATGTACACTGTAGCAGTATTTTTAGATCTTAAACGTGCTTTTGAAACGGTTAATCGTAAAATATTAATTGAAAAATTAAAAAAATATGGCATTAAAGGAAAAGTACTTGATTGGATCAGTGATTACCTCACAGCAGTGTTTCTCAAACTTTTCGAATTCACGGCTCCCTTATGTTTTTTGAAGGTTATCGCGGCGCCCCGAACGTAAAGACTACACTAGATATTTAATTAATAAAAATAGGTAGGTGGCTGTCTGAACGGTTTGCATTTTGCTATTACCGATATTGCCGATATTATCATCACGGCGCCCCAGGGCGCCGCGGCGCACACTTTGAGAAACACTGCTTTACAGGAAGGAAGCAAGTAACCAAAATTATTGAGTTTGTCTCAACAGCAATAAGCGCAGACCACGGGGTTCCGCAGGGAAGTATTTTAGGGCCATTGCTATTCTTAATTTACATTAATGATATCAGCAAATGTAATTAATGTGATTATGAACATTATTTTGCTGATGATGTCCTAGTATCGGTTAGTGATAGAGATATAGATAAAGCTATTCAAAAAATGAATGAAGCATTGAATAATATTGCTACATATTTAAAAACTAATGAATTGAAGCTAAATGTCAACAAAACAAAGGCTATGATACTTGCAACACCGTTTAAGTACAGAGAATTAGATTTAAATCAAAATGAAATGAAAAGAAAAAGTGAAAATTGAGCTCATTACTGAATTCAAATATCTAGGATTCATGTTGAACAAGCATCTATCAATTAATAACCATTTCACTCACATGCAGAAAAATTTTTTGAAGAAATTATGTTTCTCACATACAGAAAAAATTTTTGAAGAAATTATATTTTTTCACAAGAGTATCCCAACACTTAACTATGCAATCACGGATAACTGTATATAAGACCATTATACAACCACTTACTGAATTCAAATATCTAGGATTCATGTTAGACAATCATCTATCAATGAATAACCATTTCACCTACATACAGAAAAAATTTTTGAAGAAATTATATTTTTTCACAAGAGTATCCCAACACTTAACTATGCAATCACGGATAACTGTATATGAGACAATTATACAACCACATTTTGAATATTGTCCCACTCTTCTATACACAAGTGATTTGAATAAAATGAGAATACTACAAAAACTACAGAATCGCGCAATGAGGATCATTTTGAGATGTGGCAGGAGTACAACTTAACTATGCAATCACGGATAACTGTATATAACTCATATACAGAAAAAAATTTTGAAGAAATTATATTTTTTCACAAGAGTGTCCCAACACTTAACTATGCAATCACGGATAACTGTATATAAGACCATTATACAACCATATTTCGAATATTGTCCAACTCTTCTATACACATGTGATTTGAATAAAATGAGAACACTACAAAAACTACAGAATTGCGCAATGAGGATAATTTTGAGATGTGACAGGAGTACCCATATATCTTTAATGTTAAAAACTCTAGAATGGGTATCTATAGAAAGTAGGCTTACATATTTAACAATGATTTATATTTACAAAATGTTGCATAACCTGCTACCTTCATATTTTGACAAATTTGTAATTTTTAATAATCAAATCCATCAATACTAGAATAAGAAATAATTTGAATGTAAATAATCAAACATAAACGTTCAACATTAAAACATTAATTTTTTAAGGATTTATTACTTAAGTATAACAGTCTACCTGAAAATGTAAAGTCTTCTAACAGTCTTATTCTGTTCAAAAGAAATCTATTAGACCATTTAAAAGACCATTAAGGTGATACCAAATTATTATGTATTATTTTTTTTGTATTTTCAATTATCGTAGGTAAGATTACTCATTAACAAATATCAGCAGATATTTTTTTTATTATTGTGTTTATATGTATATTAATGTTAACATTATTATCATTGTTGTATATTAGGATGTATCCTATTTGGCGACGTTCAAGAAAAATATGTAGTCATGGCAGATTCGAATTCAAGACCTGCTGGCACACTATTGCTGTGCCGTTTCACCACTTGTATTAGCTGTAAATTTTGAAAATTTCTCACTTCAAAGAATGGTTGAGTTTTGAATAAGTGATCGAATATATTTTTACTGGATTTATCGCTTTTGATGAAGAGCTAAATGGAAAATTCAGCTCAATTACAATCTCCTTCGACTTTTATATTGATTTTTGAAAATGTTTCATCCACAAAACTGTTTCTCAATTATTAAAATGAGCCATATGCCTCTGAAATTATAACAAAAATTTTGCTGTCATTTTTATGTCTTTGGCATTGACTACTACAGTCATTACCTAGGGTTAGTAGGGTGTGTTACTAACTCTCTGAGCCACACCTGGGAGCATCATGGCTATTTGTAGTTCCGCCAGCCATGTTACGTAGGAGAATCAATCCACCATCAATTAGATAAATAATAAATGGAGAGAGAATCTGAAAGCAATTATTCATTATATTTCTCATTAACCAGTGGGATATGCTGGCAGTAAACAAATCTAAAGAAATGAACTTTAAATGTTCAAGCCAGTCTCGAATATACCTACACAGTAGGTTGAATGGACTGACGCCTATCAGAAAACAATAACTCCCCTGGCTAATATCACGGAGGGCGTTCGATTATATCCGACCAATTGCATATGCATTTCCTGCATATGCAATTGGCAATACAACTGAAAGAGTCGACCTTCAATTTTCGAACGGGCACACTTGCAGACCGGTTTCGGGTTCATTAGCCGCTCATCAGTGCAACATAGTGGACATCATCGACCTAAAGTAAATTATATTCCATAATTGAAAATCGGAATTCTTTCAGAGTATTTCATTTCTCTTCCTAAGTTGGAGCGAACAACAAAATGTCACTCCATCTAGTGGACGAGGTACTAACCAACTGCATATCCAAAATTTGTCCGATTCCTCTGAATAAGGAAGAAACACTTTCTTGTTAATCAGTGGGCTATGCTTGAAGACTGGCAGTAAACAAATCTAAAGAAATGAACTTTAAACGTTCAAGCCAGTTTCGAAGTTACCTACACAGTAGGTTGAATGGACTGACGCCTATCAGAAAACAACTTCTCCCCTGGCACCCAATGCCACGAAGGGCGTTGGATTATATCCGACAGGCTTCAGTGCAGTGCAATTGGCCAATTGCATATGCAGGAAATTTTCTGTTAAGATTCCTGCACTGAGCTAAACTTTTTGCAATTTTTGGTTCAAACAGGAGCGAGGGAAAAGTGTGACGTCATTGACGCAGGATGGAATCAGTATCGTAGCGATTCAAGCGTTGAACTCCACCCCTCTGTCCCCTTAGTACTCCGCCTCACCTATCAGCCCCCTTAGTACTCTGCCCATGGGCCCCTTTGGGACTCCGCCATTCAGGCCCCCTTGTCAGGTGATCCTAATTAAAAGAAGTTTATAGTTATGAGATTCGAACCCGGATTGTCCGCTTGGTAGACATTGTCCTTAGCCTCTACACCAAAGTAAGACATTGAAACTAACTGCGAATGATGGGTATTTATAGCGGTAGTTTTGTCGAGACCAAAATTGACTCATTTTATATACTTGACCGTATTTTCTGATTTCCGTAGAATGTTAGGGAAGTTGTAATCGTCATTTCCTTGTAGAAGATAGAAAAATATACTTATATTTGGGAAATAATTGATATTTCATGTAAAGATGTGTGTGTGTGTATGAGTGAAAGACACGTATGACGTAATCAAGGCAAAGAGAGATGGAGATGGTATCGAGGTTTAACGTTCCTAGGGCAAGCACGTGTTGCCGGTTGTAAAATAAATCGTTGTTTATAGAGTAATGTAGCGTTGCCGGTTTCAAAATTAAGCATGAAGGGTTAGGAATACGACTGTGTACGGGATATTTCAAAATACATTGACCCTCTGCTAACTGACCCTTATTGACTGATGTCAATGAGGCAGTATTTTGCGCAGGTGCAATTCCAAAGAATACACCATTCAAATGTGAATTGAAGTTAATATTTCAAGATCTTCGTCAGTTAGATACAAAAAACTGTTGAATTTGTTCTAGAACACGCAACAAGGCTAGATAAAAAGAAGTCACAAATGGAATTGAATCTACAATGTCAGCATATATTTTGATTAGAGTTGTACAACAATTATGAAATTTAATATAAAAAAAATGGATATTTTGATTGAAACAGTAATTTTTCTGTTTTATTTCAAGTTGGTTGAAATATATAATTCAGGCATACAGAATTATCGCTATCACTTATCGATAAAGCCAGACACGTGGCTTTATAACAATTTAGTATTGAGTTGAAGTAAGCTAGACAGCAAATATGCAAACCGCAACGGATCACATATTCATTAAGACCTTCTCTATTCATACCCAAGATGACATGGATCAATGTCAATGCTGAATAGGCATCCGGCAATACGCCTCAAAACGACTGAACAAAAACTATTTAATTTTCTTTGTTTCGTTTCAGAATATGTCATCACCTATTTTTCTATTCATATCCAAGGTGACATTGAACACTGTCAATGCTGAATCAGCATCCAGAGATACGTAGTTCTCAAAGTGACCAAACAAAGGCTCCTTGTTTGATTTCATAATATTTCATCACCTATTTTCTTATTCTTACCCAAGGTGACATTGATCACTGTCAATGCTGAATCAGCATCCAGAGATACGCAGTTCTCAAAACGACGAAACAAAGGCTCTTTGTTTGATTTCATAATATGTCATCACTTATTTTCTTATGAATACCTCCTGCGAGGCGAAATGAGTTAATTGTATCAGTTAAAAACAAGTGCAACGATTTTATCTGAAAGTAAGTGTTTTACATCCTCACTTTATAAATTTTCATTGCAAGATTTTTTATACGTTTTTGACTTTTTCTCAGATGAATTTATTCAAATGTAATTTAATTCGAAGGTGGTAAGAGTTGTTGAATTATCATTGAATTTCCAAAAGTTCACTCAAATTGATTTACTTGAATGTTTTTTATGCATACTTTTTGAGGGTTATCGTTTTTTGTTTGAATTAATTTGTAATACGAAACGGTTTAGAGGTAATTACTTATTCCTCAAGCAAACCCTGGACTACTATTTGTATCCTACATACATCAGAAGATAAGAAATGCAATTGCTGATATTTGTTTTCAAATAAAATCTTTAATAATGAATAAAAGATAAGAACCCGTAATTGCTGACGTCCATTTTCCTCGAATACTATCTCTTACAGTAACTTTACCGTACAATTTGTTTTGATATTTTATTAGATGACAGCCTCATAACCGTGAAATGTGATTAGGAATTTTACTCGAGAATCATCCAAGCTGAATAAGAGTTTTTCTCGTATTTAATCTATTTGCCTTTGACAATGCCATAGATTTTCTATGTATACATTTATAATGTTGTAAACAGAAGCTCATTTTATGACCGGCTTTCGAGTTGAATAAAACGCATAGTAAGGTATGAATGATTTTTATTCATGTTGTCGTTTGTTGAGAGAGTGTTCGTATAATTTGTAATTTAAAACATAAACTTTTTTTATTTTTGGTTTCTCGCAGGTGAGTAGAAATACAAGGCAGAAGGTGCTTCAATGTTTGCACATAACCTCAAATTTGTGTTTGCATAAGAGTGTGTGTGCCAGAGCGAGAGGATGGGTTTTCATAAGAGCGTGTGTGTAAAGTGAGAGAGGTCGGTTTGTCATATGAGTGTGAGAGAGATGGAGATGGTAGCGAGCTGATCCGTTTCAAAAATAGCAGCGCAAACAGTTCGGTGTTGTCGGATGTAAAATAAAGCGTTGTTTGTGGGGGCGATGTGGCTTGTGAGGCGTTGCCGGTTTTTTAAATTAGGCGTGGGAAAAATGACGTCGTCAACGGCGATGATTAGCAGGGTCTGATGTTTCAACGTGCGATCAGACATGTTAGAAGGGCAGTAAGAGCTGTTCAAGTTGGCGCGTAAAAAATTAAGCGTGATAGCGACACGGTTGAATTGTAAAAATAATGGTATAATGATAATGATGAAGGAAAAATCGGCTTAAAGAAAAAACATGACGGCAGGCATTCAGTACAGCGTTAAAAAAAAAAAAACGTGGCTACCAACGTAAAAAAATGGCTGTCATCGAGGTATACAGGGGGTATCATTTAAGGAAATACATGCCAGTTCAACGGGGCTCTATCGTTTTAGCGTGCGATCCAACATGCCAAAAGGACACAGAGCAGCATTTTCCTTAACCAAGTTAGCATCATCAGGAGAAGTTAATCAAGATAAAAATAACGGAAAAATTCTACAGGATGCCTCAAAACATATCGTTTGAGAAAAAAAAGAACGGTAACGAGGGTCTAACGTTTTAACGTGTGATCCAACATGTCAGAAAAACACTGAGCAGCATCTTCTTCAACCAAGTTTACATCATCAGGAGAAGTGGACCAAGAAGATTTTAATTTTGCTTACATATAAACACAGATGGCGTGACGTGCAGCACATCAAAAGGATGAAAATGATTGTGTAGATGGAGAAAAAAGTATATAGTGTTCCAATAGATTTTTTTTTAATTGAAAATAAAAATAGTCATACAGTTTTTCATAAAATTCATAATAATTATTATAATAATAATTGAAAAAAAAAGTGTTGATTATAACATTTTAGCTTCTAATATATATCGAAATATAAATGCGCATTCATATGTATCAGGACCGCATTGGGTATTGGGATTCGACCAGGGGCAACTTTTGTAGTGTTCACCATATTGAATTGTATACGTTTCAGCAGTAGTTATGAAATTCATCAGTAACTTTTTCAGATTGGTCCATTTTTCGATAATCTCCGCATATATACCATAGCGAACGATGTGTTTATCGATGAAATCATCGATTTTTTTACAAGCGGGTGATATATCTGAAGCTGTCGGAAGCATATTGGTAACTAATGATTTTGCATAGTCTCTCCATTTCAAATCACAAAGGTAATATCGTGTTCAAAAACCATTGGCGTAGACGTTCCACATTTCTTTCAGTACACGAAAATTGTCCAGTAGCATGACCTGGATTCACATCTTTTTCAAAGTTTCCAGTTACATAAGGTGTTCCATCAAATTTGCAAACATCAATGATTATAGGATAAACTCCGTAAGTTATACATTCTTGTCGCAAAAATTCTGATTTTTGTTCACCACGAACGTAAATGTAGTCGGCAGCATTCAGCAACTTGGATTGAAGTATTTTGTTTAGTTTGAAATAGTAGATATCTCCATCAGAGTACCGAATACCATGGACATTTCTTTCTAGATAAGATGCGGTTTTCTTGTCTTGATTATTTAATGTGGCAAACGGTTGTGGAGGCATGGACATGTAATGGATCCGTTTAAACCCAATTTCGATGGCGAGTTCTTTAGAAATGAACAGTCCATTTACAATAAATCGCTGAATATCTACGAATGCAACTCTCATGATGACAACTTGTACAGTCCTAACACTCCTTACAACTCATTTTGAAGTTTCAATATTTTTGATTGGGGTGTGGGAGAGGGAGTGTTATTTGAATTTCAGTTCCACTTTTTGATAATTTCGCTGAGTGGGAGGTGCTCGATGACAGTGTCGTGCACAGTGATGCAATAGGCTCGTGTATTTTGTGGAAATCCCTCAGATGATTCGATTTCAAGTTTTACATCATTACTGGAACTTTTGATGCTTTCGTCCCTTCTGGAACAATCGATGACAAAGAGAGTTTTTTGTATAAAGTCGGCGGTGTTGATGAGAGGATTATGTTGATTGGTCATTTTGTAGCTGAGACCGAATTGTGCGCAGTTGAAATATGCTTGCAAAAAATTCATTTTCCCAAAATTCAGATGCATATCTTTGGGGTAATTTTCACCGTTCAGAATCAACGTTATATTGGTGATATTTATATGGTTGCATTGTGTTGGATCATTGTTGACTTTGGTGTAATCACGATCTTTTTGGAAACATACAATCACATAGCGTGGGTTTTCGAGAAACGAAAAAGTCTTGACGGCCCATATTTCATTTTTTGCACCTTGTGTGAGAGCAGGCAGCATATGGAGTTCCCATTTTCTGAAAGGTATGAGAATGGGAGTGGGAAAGCTTGGATAGCTTTTAAAAGTTGCAATTTGATTTGATCATGAGGGAAGATTCGTTCAACTTTCAGTTCGATATTTTAAATTTTCAGCTTATCTTCAGTCTGTGATGCTACTGTACCAGTAGTCTCATCTATTTTGAAACAGTTGCTATCATTCCAGCTCGTACTAATCGGATGGTGTGTTTACCATAGGAAACACTTTGATAATCATTGAAAATATTCAAGAAACGCTTGATAGGTATAAGTATGTTGAAGGTTAAAGATGTAGTTTGAATGATGCCGAAGCTCTTGGGGTATGTCCATCCTGAGATTGCCAAGTGTTTGATATCTTCATCAGTGTAGGTGAGGAAGCCTCTGACAGTACTAACAATTCCAACTTCACGAACTGCTTCCAATTCTTTACCATTCAGCTCATAGGTAGCAGATTGAAACATGAAACCACCAGCATTGTTCACGAAGGTCACATGACCATCTCCCTTGGTCCTCTCAACTTTTCCGCTGATGAATAGCAAGCTATCGTACAAAGCATCATAGGCATCGGATTGATTAATGTTGATTTCAATGACGTCATTGTTGCGAAAAGATTTGACGTAAGGGTAGTAGGTCCGCCACTCTACCTTTTGTATGGACTCATCGTTTTGCGGTTTTCGGAAAATGTTGAACACTTGATTGAATAACATGATAACCCAGAGATTTCAGAAATAATTTATTTTGTTGTTTATAGTTGTCGACTATTGAAAGTTTTGGTGAAGACTGGCGAAGCGTATGATGATCAGTTGTTCTTATAGATAGCCAGTACCATAATTTCGTTTCAATTCCAAACGATTTATTATTTCTTCATTACGAAAATCAATGAGCCTGGAATGTTGGTCGAGCACTCGCAGTGTAATATTGTTTATTTCGTCTCTATTTGCAATAGAGGTGTAGAGGTATATGAGGTGATTAGGAGTTTCGTCAATTGCGTATCCTGGAGCTACATCAACAGCAAATTCTTATATCGTATGAGACGGTGTGTCGTTGTAGAATGCTCCAAACGTAATGTTGCTGTCTATGTGTATGGTACGTACTTTAATGATATCTACAAGTAGATCGGATGCGTAATGTAAGTTAGGTTTGAGAAGAGTAGATGAAAACCCCAAAATATGAGCCAAACTATTTGCAGGTCGGAAATCAATCGAATGTTTCAAACAGAATATTTCACTTTTTAGCGTATTATTATTCGGTTTAAGATAAAAAAATTCCTCAGGGTTTTCCTTATACGTTTTAGGTACAATATATTTGCTTATCAAGTTTTCGATATCATCAATTTCTTAAGATCCACCAGGAATATCGATACTTTTTCGTTTAGTCGTGCCATCGTTTTCGTAATAAAAAAATTTTGTACCTTCTTCAATGTTTGGTATAGTGTTGTACGAATGGAAACTGAGCATAACTAAACTGTATTCGGAATCGGAATCCAATCGAATGGGCGGATTGAAATCGATGGAAAGCGTCAAAGATCGACTCGTTAGCGTTAGTATCATAGACATGACTGATATAATGTCAATACGACATTTCCTTTAATAATGATTGAAACAACAAAATTTTGAATGAAAATATCATTTGTTTTCACAATAATAACAACTAATAAACTTTTTTGTGTAAGTTTTATCAACAAAAAGCCCCATAATTTTTGTAGGTATTATGCAGTAGAAACTGTAGGCACAGATGTCCACAATTACTTTGATAAAAGTTTTGATACCGATCATTGTTATATGTAATCGTTGCACCTTTTCCAAAATATCGTATCAATTCCATTGGAGGTTTGAGATTACCAAAGCTATCGAAATATTGTACAGCATTAACGTTTTTAATGTAAGCTACCCAATGAGTGACTGAATTCAATTGAGAATCCAAGTTAACAATAGCACATTCTCGTTGGCAAGGACCACAAGTTGGCAACGTATCACGCATGAAGACTCCACGAAAATGCGAAATTTTCAATTTTTGAATTATCGAATCATATAATGCTCTATGGGGTAGCTTCAACAGTTTTTTTTTGCTTTTTCAAGTAAAGACCTCGTCCTTGCGTTGATGCTGTTTTTTTAGGAACAAACCATATCCTCGTGATGTTTGCGTAGGTACAAACCAGAACCCAAATGTTCCATAGCTTCATTATGACGCTGATCTTCTTCGAGTTTCTTTTTGACATTTTTTGCATCTATTACGGTTTTTGCGATAGCGCCTGCTCCACCTGCCAACGAACCCAAAGCTGAAAGGACAGCGAATATAGATATGAGTGGCAGGACTCCAGATTTTGCTTCGATTGGAATTATCCTAGGTATCCGTATGTTTTTCGTCCTCCAGCTTCACTCAATGCCATTTTAGCAGCTCGCAAAGCCGAAGCACTAGATTTTTTAATATTAGTAGAATGTGGCTTCCAATGTTTATTAATTTTTTTGGAGTATATTACGTCGAAAGGTCGCCCCCATACCAAGCTTACTTTTCGCCTTCATTGTTGTAGTGACGAGCCAAGCTGCAGCTTTTTCCCCAAATTTAGCGTCTTTCGATTTAACGCGTTCCCAAGCTTTATTTTCCAACACTTTATCAGCTCCGTGACGATGTTGTAAAGAGCTGTTTTGAGAGTATGCAATATCGTGTTCTCTACAGGCCTCGTCTAATGGATTTACACCGGTTTCACCTCGTGCAAGACGTTCTTGTAGTTTCGTACCAGGACTGCAATATTGATAGCCTGGTAAGTGTAATTCGAATGGCAGCTTATTGATTAGCGTATTGACGACACCTTCTCCGCGATAAGTCAACATGAGAAATGATGGATGACGTCAATGCACACGCTACATATTAAAGTGAATCCCTCAACCACCAATCAGAACATGGAAGTCGTTCCACAAGACAATACGTTACCCATAGACAACTTGGACTATTTGAATGATGGTGTCAAGTATCGGAAAAAATATGGCAAGTTATTACCCAATTCGTTTCGCGCCATCATATGTGATCCATCGGGGTGTGGAAAAACCAACGCAGCATTATCGATATTATTCCATCCAAATGGAGCCAAGTTTGAAAATGTCTACGTGTACTCAATGTCGCTCTATCAACCCAAGTATCAGCTGCTTCGAGAGATATTGGGAAAAACCAAAGGAGTCGGTTATTTTCCATTTCAAGACAACGAAGAAATTCAGAGTCCAGAGGCGGCTTAACTAAATTCCATATTCATGTTCGATGATGTAGCCTGCGATGGTCAGCAGAAAATTCGTGAATATTATTCGATGGGTCGTCATAAGGACATTGATGCCATGTATTTGTGTCAGACGTATTCCAAGATACCTAAGCAACTGATACGTGACAATTGCAACATGATTGTATTGTTCAAGCAAGACGAAATGAATTTGAAACATGTATTCGAAGAACACGTCTCATCCGATATGTCTTTCGATGGATTCAAGAGAATGTGTGCCGAATGTTGGCGCGACGAAAATTCTTCGACAAATACATAAATGTGCGTGAATAAAAATAGAAACGTTATCTGTCAATATGAAACCACTTAGTGAAGAAGTTGATGTTGTGCGCAAGAACAAAATTAACGAAATTTCAAAAAGCATAAGAAAAAAGTATCTAGCTTTGAAATTGGGAAAGTCTGAAGAGGATGAGTCGTTGCAAAAAATTTTTCAACCTATATCGAAGCCGCTGAAGGATATTGCTGATATCTCTGAAAAATCGGTAGGTCATTTGAGACAACGTAGTGATGCCACCAAGAAGGAGGGGAAGAAAGATGAAATAAAAACGGAACCATTCGATCAATCTCAAGCATTTAAAGAGACGCAATTTTTACCACTCGAAAATGTTGCTGAAACGACGGGAAAGGATGATGATGAGGTATTCCACGAATCACCACCACCACCACCACCATCAATGGAAAATATTTCAGAGGAGAGTATGATGGAATATCTGGAGCAATATCCGCCCATATCACACAAATATGTCGTGAAACACTGGGCTAAAGACAATTCAATCGACAAAATATACGGACCAGTTTATGACGAGTCGTCTTCAAAATGGATTCTCGGTAGAAACTACATTGACTTTGATAAACGTGGTAATATTACAACTGAAGGACTCTACTTCAAAGGAACTCCAGGACTATATAATTTGATCTTTCTCGATGAACCTGAAGACTATAATAAAGAGGATCGAACCTCTTATAAACGTTCGTTGGAAGTAACACAAGCCCACCTGAATGCCAGAGGATCCATGAAGGGAACACAAAAATGGAAATGGTCAGATGTTTCGTAATCAAACACTTGGTAAGGGTTACGATAATGTAGTGAGCAATGATGTAGTTGGTTCCAGCATTCTACAAACGAATGCCATCAACACTCATCGTTGGATATATAATGACAAGCCCTTCGAGTATGTGTATTGAGATAATCTGAACGAGTTATGCGATAGATTAAAGCTGCTTATAGCTTCGAAAGATGAAAAATGACATGTATTTCATTCCAAAAATTCGATGCGATAATGCAAAATTGACATGAAAATCGCAACGAATAAATGTCAAAAATTCAATGCGATAAAACGATAATTTTTTATCACTTTAATCGCAACGAAAAAAACATATTTTTCAAACCATCATTTCGTGCAAAAACCCATATGATTTACTTTGTAACATGCTACGAAAAATAATGCAAAATTAACACGAAAATCGCGTAAAAAAAAAGTCAAAATTTGATGCGATATAACGTTCATTTTCGTCACAAAAAACGTATCAAAAATTCAACAAAAATTCAATGCGTTGAAACAACCATATCTCGATCGCTTAGAAAAAACGCATATTATTAGAATCTTATCGGTGTATGTCACATTTCCATCATGACTATCGACAAGTTTGGACGCAGCTCCAATAGAAAGCGAAAGCAATCTGCAACATCAGCAGTAAGCACTGGTGGAGGTTTGCTACACACACCCGATGGCAACATTGATTTCGATGATTTGAAATTATGTAATGTGAAAAGACCTACGAACGCATCAGATGCAGTCAACAAAGAGTACATGGATGAAGTTGAGAAAAAAATTGATGCAACTATACAGAATCAAAGCGGTCGACATCAAAAACAAATGGCCCAAGTAAATGAAAATCTAGCAAAAATGCGAGAGCAAGTTGATCAATGTCAACATCAAATAACTCGAGTTAATGATAAAGTAACAAACATGAGTATTGATATTCAAAAACAGGTGAATGTAAACAAACGATTCGACAATATGTAAGTAATATTGGAGATATTCAAGCAGATTTGTTAGAGAAAATAACAGAAATTGCCGATTTGGTTCATTCGTATAACAAAACTTTGAAAATTGAACAAAACGACATGATGGAGCATTTTCAAGGTGATATCTCTAAACAAATTTCCAAAATAAATTCGGATTTAGCGAAGGTACAATCTGATATCAAGAAAATCAACAAAATGTAGTTCATAATAAAATAACAAGTTTAACATTCTCGACCATCAGTCCATCACATGGCTTCCAAAGACAAGATTCAACTTGTTCGTGAACTGCATAAACCTATTAGAAAAAATTTTCCATGACGACATACCGTTATCAAAGGACTAGATGATCTGTGGCAGATGGACTTGGCTGAGATGAGATCATTCGCTCATAAAAATCGAAATTTCAATCT